TTTTACTATTATTATTATTATTATTATTATTATTATTATTATTATTATTATTACTATTACTATTACTATTACTATTATTATTATTATTATTATTATTAAGCCACATTAGATATTCATTCACAGTTCTCGATAGGTGTTCTAAATCTGATCTTTATAGTACTTTTAATTAGTGGATGTGGTCACAATATGAGATGCAGTCACAAAGTGTTTATTTAAATACAACCACAAAATGTTTCTTTGAAGGTGTTCAAGATGTTCAGTTGTTCACAGTGCACCAGTGGGATATTGTCTTTTAAGTGTCTTGAGTTTTTAAATAACAGATTATCAGTTGTTCATCTCGTCATGGTGACAAGGCTTTTCCTTCTGTTCAATTTTTCCTAGCCACACGCTTAATTAAAAAAATGTAAAAGAATTTAAAACTAGAAACTCTTCCCCAAGGTTCCAATATCTTAGGGGCTGCCACAAAGAGGGAGTCAAGCTATTCTCCAAAGCACCTGAGGGCAGGACAAGAAGCAATGGATGGAAACTAATCAAGGAGAGAAGCAACCTAGAACTAAGGAGAAATTTTGTGACAGTTAGAACAATTAACCAGTAGAACAACCTGCCTCCAGAAGTTGTGAATTCTCCAACACTGGAAGTTTTTCAGAAGAGATTGGATAATCATTAGTCTGAAATGGTATAGGGTTTCCTGCCTGAGCAGGGGGTTGGACTAGATGACCTCCAAGGTCCCTTCTATTCTATTCTATTCTATTCTATTCTATTCATGTTTTTGTTTGGTTGGGAAATCATTTCTGTGCATGCTTTGTAAAGTTGTAATAGTTCCACTGTCACCCCCATCCTCCAAGATGTATAGTCCACAGATCGGAAACCAGAGAGCCAGTGGGGTCTAATGGTTAAAGCACCAGACTGGAAATCAGGAGACTGTGAGTTGTAGTTCCGTCTTAATCAAGAAAGTCTGCTGGGTGATCCTGGGCCAGTCACTCTTTCTCAGTCCAACCCACCTCACATGGCTTTTGCTGTAGAGGAAGTAGGAGGAGGAAGGAGTATTAGGTATGTTTGTCACCTTGAGTTACTTATAAAATAACAAGAGTGGGATAACATAAATAAATAAATAAAAACTACTGCTGTCATAATTCTTATATCTTGCTGTGTGATTTTTTTTCCACTTATGGGTTCTCCTGCACAAGAATGACTGCTCCTTGCTTAAGGAAGGCTTTTGAGACAGGAAGCTTGAATGCCTTAAGCTTTTTCTTGCTTTACCAAGGTTTTAACATCTTTATTCTATTGTTACTTTTTTAGTGTTCCAGAAGAAAGTCCTGGAAAAAGTCTTCCCTGCTCCTGTACTTCCCGGTGTCGTTTCTTCAAGCCTAGAGAGTACTGCTCTTCTGAAAGGTGCACTTGCAACTCAGGAAGACCCCAAAAAGGTGTCAGCTTTGGAAAAAGACTCTAGGGTGCAAGGTAATGTTTGCTTGTGTGTATTTGCAGGTGGGTGTAGGTGTACATACACATGTTTGTGCTCATGATCATTAAACCTAACCAGTTCCATTTTGCTTTGCTGTGATATCAAAATCCAAACAACGTCAGCAAGGTTGACCTGATGCAACAGGATCTGTGAAAGATACAGGTCACTCCAAACTGTTTTGACTCTGGGGATGCTGGCAGCTTCTCTGCTGGGCTGCTGGGCTGCCAGCTTCAGATGTTCTGCCAGCCAAATCATTGTACATCTGCCCAATCTCCCACAACTTTGGCATTGTTTTATACACACGTCCAGTGGTCTAGATCTCAGGACACATATCAAGCACTAAAACTAAGGGGAAGGGACAGGAAGACATACCAGGATTTGCTGATAGGAGAGAAATAGAATTAAATAATCCTGGCAATAAATAACCAAGGATGGGGTGGGGCACGTGGGTAGTAGCCTTAGCTTGCATCTAGCAGCTGGGCCAGCATTTTCCTCTAAACGTACTCCAGATTGAACTGAAGACTGACCATTTGGCACAGTTTGTGCTGGCAGAAACTGGAAAGCCACTTTAAAAGTGAAGCAGATAGAGGCACCATCCTGCTGGGCCAGAGTCAGACTAAGGACAACAACATGCATTCATGTCAGCAAGTGGTAATTGGTCATCTATGCCACAGCAAGCAGGGTGTCTGAATAAGCCCTGTATATTTATAATCCAAAAAGGATTTTGGATGAACTCAAAATGGTATATTTGGGATTTAATTGCTTCTTTGCTGCAAAGCTACACTTCTTCTTCTTGTGCCATATCCGTTATCGGACGTTGGCGATCCTGTTTTTATCAGCAGCCGCACGAATACACAAGATCATTTATACTAAAGCTCTCGGCTTCAGGTGCATCAGTGTGAGGACTGCGGTTGATTATTTTTGCCTTTTAGGTTGGATTTGAATATTGAATTACTGTATTACAAGTCATAGTTTTAAAACAATAATGCTTCACTGAGGGAACAACAGCTATCTAGCATTTTTTTCAACATAAAATATTAGCAAGGCAAAAAAAACTTCAGAAGCTAAAAACATATCATAAATATTCAGCCAGCAGGTGTAAAACAAAAGTCACCTTTGATAATTTGCCACTAAAACAGCAATACACCTGTGAATTATAAACTATTATCTTTGAAATACTGACAGATGGACACTTGGGAATTATACTTTAGTATTCAGCTGAAAAGAAGAGTGGATGCAGATTGGTTGAACTTGTTTTACATTCAAAACAACCATGCAGTGAATTATGATTCTTCCTGGAACATACTCCCTTAAAAATTCCTTTACTTATGAAAATCATGCATGCTGTATCATCTGGCCTTCTATATTACAATCTGAGAGGCATGATGCAATCAAGCATTCTAATCAGATTCACGTTTATATGAATGGTTTCCACATTGACATCCCATGTAAGTAGTCCTTGTTTAGTCCTCCCTTCCATCCAGGACAAAGCACATAAGTGTTGCTTGAGCAGGGTCCGCAAGATTGTCTGGGACACTACACATCCTCTTCACAGCCTGTTTTCCTTGTTACCTTCTGGAGGAGGCTCCGTGGTATCCGAAGCAGAACATCCAGATTCAGTCACAGTTTTGTTCCATACAGTATTAACTTTGTGAACTCTAAAGCTTCCTCCTTCCATTATGTATTCAAGATGGACAGTGATTAATATTTATATGTGAGGGTGTAGGTCTATACATATGTTGTATATAGTATGTTTAAATGTGTGTTATGTATGTGTACACTTGGAGAGCAAGCAACTAAATTTCATTTTTAATGTGTGCCGTTGTGCCCACTGAAAAAAATGACAATAAAGGTTATCTAATCTAATCTAGTGACTGTTTGCAGTATCGTTCCAGTTACCGTTCACAATTACGATGATGAAAAAGTAATTTTATGAGCATATTTATAACCTTCACAGGTCTGTAAAGCAAAGGAAAGCTGAAGTATGAATATAACCACAGTCAGGGTTTCACATAGCAACCTCTTTGCTTAACGACCCAGTTGTAGTTGCTAGAAAGCATTTTCAAAAGAGATAAAAATGCACGATTCTTGACATGAGCCCAAAGAATATACAACCTGCCTCCAGAAGCGGTGAATGCTCCAACATTGGAAGTTTTTAAGAAGAGACTTGACAGCCATTTGTCTGAAATGGTGTAGGGTTCCTGCCTGAGCAGGGGGTTGGACTCGATGACCTCCAAGGTCCCTTCCAACTTTATTATTATTATTGTTTATTATTATTATTATTATTATTATTATTATTATTATTATTATTATTATTATTATTATTATTATTATTATTATAACTGGGAATGTTATTTTATGCTACGTGGCCCTCCTAAGTAATAAAAATGCTTTAAAAAAAAGTATTCACAGTTCAGATTATCCTAACAAGATGGACTATTTTGCATCTATGTATATATCGTTTGATATTAGGGGCGCATGTCTCTTTGGACTTAAAAGTTCATTGCAATCCCACAAAAGATGCATTTAGTTTAAGGAGTTGCAGACAGGTGATTCTCTGTGTGTTCCTAAATATCTTTTTGCCTTAGAACGCGAAGTGTTTCATTGCCCTGCTTGATTTATCAGTATAAGACAGCTTTCTTCAAATCCAAGATGCGTCCAGCTATGCTGTCTTTGGAATCTGGGGATTTCTAGTTCCAAACAGGGAATTAATTAATTAATTCCAACACTGGGAGGTTTTAAGAAGAGATTGGACAACCATTTGTCTGAAATGGTATAGGGTTTCCTGCCTGAGCAGGGAGTTGGACTAGAAGACCTCCAAGGTCCCTTCCAACTCTATTATTATTATTGTTGTTGTTGTTGTTGTTGTTGTCGTCGTCGTCATCGTCGTCATCATCATCATCATTCCTCATATTGATAATATTTCTGTAGAGTGGCAAATATATTGCTAGAATCCAAATCTGGGGTTGCAATAAACTCTTGTTTGTTTTTAATGTAGTATTTTAAATGTAATGTGAGTCCTTTCTAAATTCCTTTGCTGCACTTGTGTTGATTTATAAGAACAGATGTGTTTCTTTGCCAGTTCAGCAAGGCTAGCAGCTTAAAGCATACTTTGCACACACAGCCTTAACAAAATGTTGCTTGTCTTGTATTAAAAATGTCTGTGATTTTGAGGACTGAGGACTGGAGATAGGCTGGCAAGCAAAGCAAATATTGTCTATACATATTCATGATAGACTCTTTGGCAGTGCAATATTGGAATAAACAACTTCTGCAGACTGATTAAACAATTCATTGTAGCAGTTAATTACTGTTGCAAGAAGGAGCGACAGACTGTAATTATTACTTTGCACAGTAGAATATGACATTTTAAAATGGTTTTCCATCAAGAATTTGTCTTCTGTTGGGTGCTTATGTTAACATGATATAACTATCAATATGGCTGCCGATTATTTATAATCTTCTGAAGCCATAATTTTATGGTTTGGATCAATGAACTGCTGCTTTTCACTCTCAATTTCTGTTGCATAGGTCTTCTCAAGCATTGTCAGATAATTATCTAGTCAAAATTCATTGAATTAATAAGGGATGGTGGAGTAGAATTACTTGATTCTCATTTATATATATGTTTAGTAATTTCTAAACTATACACCATGCAAAATTAGTAAAAGCATTTATCCCTAGAAGTAAGCCTCGGTCCAGTAGAATTTATTCTAATGTAAATGTGCAGAGATTATAGCCCAAACCTTTTGTTTTATCAAATTATGCATTTCTGGTATCACATTAGTTCTCCTCTTTATAAGTAACATTTTGGTTATTTTATTTTTTATTTATTTATCAAATTTATTTGCTTCCATCTCATGGTTCAGGCAACTTCTTATTATAGCTCTAACAAGGACAAATCTATAACATCATCATATGAAGACAAAAATCTAGTTTCTGGCAACAAATGGCAAATGGGAAGATGTGTGAGGGATCCTTGGTGTGCTCCAAGTTTGGTTGTTTTCTTGCAGATGTTTCATTACCAAACTAGGAAACATCATCACGTTAGTAGGGAGTGGGGTTTGCTCTCAGTTTATATCTAGTGGCTTGCCCTGTCAGTGTTGGTGAGAATGTGCTTGGAGATTCTTTGGTTGGACTGTTTACTGATAGCTTCCTTGGCAACTCCTTGATTGGGGTATGGTTTACTTCTTGATTGTTGGTCTGATGTTAATCTTGATGTTTATCTATGCTCATCTGGGTTTTGATTGCTGGTGGGGAGGAGTTTTGGTCGTTTTGTTATCTTTTTGGCTTGTTGGTTTCCTCTTTTATACAGTATACAGATGTTGTTTATATCTATGTGTCTATTGATGGCCATAAAGGATGCTGTGTCTCATAATTCACAGATACCACAGGTTGACATTATACATCAAGTGAAAGAAAGTGGAGGATTTGGACTGCCGGACTGGAGGTTATACTACCAAGCATCTATTCTAATATGGCTTAAATAATGGATAATGCTTAGAGATAAAAGACTATTGTACCTAGAGGGGCATGACCTACAAATTGGTTGGCATGCGTTTCTTTGGTATGGGAAGAATAAAATATATAGATACTTTCAAAACCATTTTATAAGGAAGGCACTTCTTTCAGAATGGGAAAAAATAAAAGAAAAAATTTATATTAAGATACCTGAATGGCTTTCAACAATGGAAGCTTTTGCTTACCCAAATTTAATTAACTACAGTAACGTTCTGACTTATAAAGATATTTTGGACAATGAAGAAAAATTGAAAGACAGACAAGATCTACAAGAACAAGGTATTGATCTAGCATGGTGGCTATATCTGCAAATCCAAACGAGATATGAAAAAGATGTTAAAACAATGGGATTTTATAAAGAACAGACAGAATTTGATCAGATACTGCTAAAAACAGATGAAAAGTTGATTAAGAAACTCTATAGATTTCTGTTAAACTTAAAGATGGAGGAAGAACAAGTAAAAGAAACAGTGAT